ATTTTTGAAAGTTAGAATGCCCAAACTAAGACTTAGCTTAAATACAAGATGAATTTATATGTGCGGATAATGACAAGGAATATATATTGAATAGTTTAGAAAAAATTGCAAAGAAGAAGAAATCATTATTCATCTCATCATAATTTTTACTCCACAACAAAACAGTCTTTCTAAAAAACTCAACCAAACAATGTTGGAGAAGTTGATAAGCAAGTATGGTGTATCATGTGAATATTGGATTGAAGAGATCAATGCCGCACTTTATTTGTTAAATTTTACTTCTAAAGCAATTAATTGTTTAACAATATTAATATCACAAACAAAAAGTGACTAATTTTAATCATTTGAATTTTTTTCATTTTATTGTTTATTCATTCATACATAAGGAAAATAATATCAAATATATATTTTACATTAAAAATTTATCTTTCTTTTTGAATTTTCTGGTGATGTAAAGAATTTTTTATTATGTTATCCAATAGTATACAAGACTATTGTCAATAAAGATGTTTTATTTCATGAAATCTAATCATGAAAGTATGCTCACGGGTTTGTCACATACTAAACTTTAGGCATTTTGGAGCGTGCTAAGTTCTTGTTGTTTTTTCATGAAAGATCGTTACTTATATTAGAGTAAAAATATTGTTTGGTAGGTAACAAAAGTTATATACTTGTGTTGTCTTGATGTATAACAATACATGTTATAAGATCTAATGGAAATATATATTATTTTATGATTTGTGTATGTGTGATAATTGTCACATTTCTTTTAATATCATTCCAAGTCAGCTAGATGTGCATATATTCTTATTAGCAACCGACATTAGTCAATTTAGATCACAATAGAAATCACTGTTTAGATTTATAGATACATAGAATGAATACATCAAAGTATAGATTAATTTGTGCAAGAACTTCAATTATAAGAAATTGGAATTACTTTTGATCTAATCCTAAGTGTTTGGGAAAAAATTGATTATAATTTATTTTTCTGGTTTATAAAAATAATAAAAAGATTTTATATGATTCTGATATTTTGTAAAAATTTCTGAGTGAATATATCGGTAGTCTTTTTAGTTCTAGATCTCCATAATCTAATGAAAATTTTCATGATGTTTAAAAAAAAATCTGATTTTGAAATTTTTGCAATCGTTTTTGTTAACTTGCTTGAGTATTGATAGTGATAAAGTTGTAGTAAGTTAAAATTGAATATAGTCAAAATATGATTTTTTGAAATTTTGAAGTGAAAATTCAAATATTTGGATATTGATAAATGGTAAATGGTAATAGATCAAGCCCGGGGGACCCAAAGGGTCAAAAGGCTGAAAAACACAATACAAGCGACAGCCACAAACAAGGGAAAAGACCCCAAAGGCCAAACCCTAGCTAGTGCCAAGAGCAAAGGGTTTATTGAAATATCAAATAATGTGTGTTTGTGATAGTGTGTGTGATACCAAAATACGGGTTTAAAAGAGAGATTTTTTTTTGAAAATTCAAATAACGAGTAAAATAATTGAATTTTTTTTGAAAGTTTCAAACATGTGAGAAGCTTGTAAACATGTATAATAATGTACATTTTTGGAAAAGAAGTGTAACATATGATCATTGTGTCAACGATGTCTCAACAAATCATGAAGAATTATGTGCATAACGTTGATTTGGACAAATTAAACTAATCATTGCCAGATTTGATTTCCATTCCATATTCTAATTCATTTTTACATTACGAAGCGATGTTCATGAGATATAGGTAACATTGTATGTTCAAATTTCACTGTTATGTTAGACATCATCTAGAAGAAGCTTGTAGAAGATTTTTCCTATACAAAGTGAAATACCTACATTTAGATGACATTCTAATCATTCCAAAGCTTCCAGCATATCTCACATAGATGTAATATTTCACACCTAGGCTAATTCATTTTGATAGAATCAATCTCCATACATGAAGATAGTACGTTTTATAGTCAATTGTGATTTATAATTATCTTAGTTCCTTTCGCTAGTTACTAGTTACCATTTTCCAATTTACCATTCACTAGACAAAATTATGGAATACATTGGGATTCAAAGGATTACTTAAAAAGTAATTTGTGCTTAATCTATATGTTGCACATAATACTATCCATCTTTGGTTAGATAAGATCATTCATCTCTTCATAGTGTAGCAATGTAGCTTTTGACACAGTACCTCGTGAGTTTTTATGGCAAAGATTGCAAACCATTAGAGTACCATAAACTCTCTTAGCAGCGATGGCCACATTATACCACTCCATTTGATCCAAGATCAACACTTCTCAAACCGAAGAGATTTTGAGTACCATTGGAGTTATTCAAGGTTGTACTTTTTCTCCTACTCTCTTTGGAGTTTTCATAGATTATATAGAAAGGCGATTAGAGGTTTGTGACAGTGAAGGTGTCAAACTTGGAGGCTTTGTCATCAAAGCTCTTTTGTATGGAGATGATGTCATATTACTAGCACATGATGCCATTACTTTACAGAAACATCTTGACACTTTGGCTAGCTTTTGTACTCAAAATCAGATGAAGTTCAATTTGGAGAAGTCCAAAGTCATTTTTGTGGGCATTAGATCCAAGCTTTCTTTCTTTTACAAAGGATTAGAGTTGGAACAAGTGAAGAGTTACAAATATTTGGGCATTGATTTCTACTCTAATTATAGTTGGGCACTTTCTGTGCAAAAGAGAGTAGAAACTGGTTTCAAAGCTCTATATTCATTGCTACATAGATGTAGAGGAGCTCATCTAGTGTCTTGGAGTGTTAGGAGATTTTTATTTTGAGCTTAGTGTTTCCCGTTATCTTATATGGAACACAAGTGTGAGGCCCTAGTTGTATGAAGACAGGTTGGCAGCGTATGGAGAGGGTGCAAAAAATCTTCTTACAAGAAGAATTGGGTGTGAAAAGCCAAACGTCATATGCTATTCTTCTTGCGGAAACAAGTTGTCTACCTCTTGAGGCTGAAGCTCTCTTTTTGACTATCACTTACGTCAAAAGAGTGAGATCTCTTGATGCTTATAGACTTCCTCTTGAAGCTTTGCGTGCCACATGTCCCAAGGGATGGTTTGCAGATGTGGTGACTTGGTCTTTGAGTTAAAATGTGAGGGAACTCGATTGGGATTTGCTACCTATTGCCCTACGCGAGCGTATCAAGGAGGAATTTCTCAGCATTATTTGGAGTAGACGAGTCACTAAAATGGAGTTTTATCAACTTCATGTGAATCCTATGCTTGTTTATTGTGAGCAAGGATACTTACTTTTGGAGATCTTTACTTCTTTACGTCATATTATTGCTAGACGTAGAACAATATCTCATAGTCTTGGGCTTGAAGAAGTGCGTTGGTTGAACATTGATAGAAGTGAACGTATTTCTAGGCTATGTGATGGAAAGAAAGTGGATGATGAAGAGCATATATTTCTTATTTATACAAGATATTTAGAGATTATAGTGGCTTATAAAGTTGTTGAGAATTTTTATTCTTTGCTTCAGCCTGCTCTTTATGATTTAGGTTGTTACATTAGAGATGTTATTAGTTAACGTACTAGTGCTCTGGGCACTAGCTAGGGTGTTCTTTTGATTCTTTTCGGGTTGAATTGGATTGTTTGTATTGTATTTTTCAGACTTTTGATTCTGTGGGTCCCCATGGGCTTGATCTATTTACCATTTACAATGATTAGTAATGTATATTCAAAGAAAAAGCAAGTTAGAACGAATCCACCTCAGAGGCCAACTATGCTATGTTCTGAAAGATAACTATGTGTTCATTATGCCCATATAATGATGATGCACAAGTCATCTCTAGGGAAACCACCAAACCCGTAACAAACACTATAAACAGAACATACGTTTTTCGGTAGGATTGGCTAATGAATGTGATCAAATTGAAGGGAGTTGATCAAGTTCTTTCTGGGCTTGTGCTCAAGGGTTGATCAAGTTCTGTATGGGCTTGTGCTCAAGGGTTGATACTTATGAGGATCAGAACCGTATACACAGGTAAACCCAAATACCGTAAAATATCAGCAGAAGAGTGAATAGATTGGATAGTAGAAGAGGATGTGACGGGAAGAGACCGAGAATAGAGTGGAAGGGCGCCTTTTGTAATACTCTACTTCCAACGATGAAATTAGTCAAGACTTTCCTCGACTCAACCAAGATACTCTAGAATCCATCCATCCACCTGACTATCAAAAAACACTTGTACACAAGACTCAAATGTGGAGCTGCTGTGAGATTTAGATGGAAGGCTGGTAACATCCTTCAGGAGATTGGACTCCCATAGCAAAGCGACTTGATAAGATCATTAACTCTTGTGTTTGAAGCGAACTGCATTCCACCAAAACGTTAACATGAGTTTCGCTATCCCTGCCTCGAAGAGAGCAAGTTGCAGAGTGGTTCAACATCTTTCTCCACTCGTACCAAGAGTTGATTTCTCAGTAAAGATATACACTGGATACTTGAAAGCCTTGATTTCAAGTATACTGTGGCTGTTGGGTAGTCCAACTTGACGTTAGCTTTGTCTTTGTCCACTTCCTCCGAGAAACCCGTGTTTATTTGAAGATTTCACACAACCATGCTTCCTTCTCCGGTAATTCTACTCCAAAAACAATGTTGTTACCCTGTTGCAACGTCGTGTATCAGACTGAACCATTCGCCTAGCAGGCCTCCCTTGGATTACTGGAATGCATAAAGCACCCAGGTGAATTTCAGACCGGTGATGTGGGATATGATGCAGCTGTATTCTCCATCTTGTTTTGAAAGGTCGAACGTTGGTGAAGATCCACGGCCAAACAGTGGAAAAAGAACTCTGAGTCCCTCAAACTTGCACACTTAACCTTATCGGAGCATCTAGATACATAACGAGAGCAAGAACCGATATGCATATATAGGTGTTCAGAGCGTGTTATCATGGTTTCGTTCCTCACATGCAAGACAAGTCAGACAAGCAACTCCATTGACAAGGCTCAAAGAACGTACCAAACAGATATCAAGATTTCTAAACATTCTTACTAGCTTCTAACTGAAAATGAACATGGTCTGAAGGAAGCTCCATTACTAGTACCGTTCGCAAAGTAAGCGCTTCACGAACCTACCAATTAGAGCTTGATTATAATTCCCAGATGTTCTCCTACACATATAATTCAACACCAGCACTGTGCCATCATAGCATGTGATCGAATCATCACCATTTGCAAACTTACGCCATAAATGATGAGTTAGAAACCTCTAGGAAGAAGATGCGATGTAATCCATGTACATTTGTTGAAAGATATCTATACCCGTTGTCCTCGTTGTTGATGACTACAGTTGCATACCACTATCCTCTGATTAAACTTCTTCATGTTGCCCGTCTTTAGCGGTAAAGCAGGCTGGACTAAACAGTCAGAAACATGATTTGTTGAAACCTCGACCCATAGCTATCTGAAGTCACGATGAGCTGGCAAATGTATCTGAAGGTTGGAATAAAAGGTGTTAGCGAAGTTTTAAATAAACTTTGAAGGTTAAATTTCTGAACCCGGCTTAAGAAAACAATGTTATCAATCTTTAAAAATAAGAGAATGCTGATGCCACCATGCACTATTCTCTTCTGCTAGTCTGCTATTGGTCATACCTCCCGTCTCAGGGTTGATGAAGCGATGAATCAATGGAATGGTACTGCTATTTTGGTATCTTTTGAACTACACATCAACCCTGATCGTATTTCGTAGATAAACGATGCTAGATACATGACACAGCACAATACGGTTAAAGCAGAAAGAATATGAGATTAAGAAAGATACGTACTATAGTTTTACGGCACGGCCAGACTTCTCCGTCTTCGTTATACTGACAGTGAAAATGCTGTTCAACCTTGATCTTCATTCGACACAAGTCGTTCCACGTTAAGCATGGTACAGTCATTCAGAGGACAGCCGCTTTGCTCCATTTCTTGAATGAGCTTGTAGGCCTCATGAGACTTTCCTTTCTTAGTCAACATGTTGATCAGCGTATTGAATGTGATTACATTCGGCGTGCAACCTTTCTCCTTCATTTCTTTGAACAGGGAAAATGCCAAATCATCCCGACCGGTATCACCAAAACCTCGGATGAGGGTAGTATATGATACGACGTTGGGAATGCACCCGTTTTCAGGCATTTTCTTCAAGAGTTGCAAGGCCTCATCTACCCGTTTCGCTTTGCATAAGGAATTAATGAGAACGTTATACGTCAGAAGGTCAAGGAAAAAACCCTTAGCATTCATCTCAAGAAACAGCTCACGGGCAGAACCAATGTCCCCGACTTTGCAGAATCCGTGGATCAGATCGGAGTACATATCACTAACCGGTATGCAGCCAACCTCTTGAGATTCCTTGAATATATCCATGGCGTCAGCCATTCTTCCGGCCAAACTGAATGCAACGATCATTGAGTGATAAGAATTCACCCTGGGCTTCCGCCACAGTCCTTTCATCTCCTGGAAGATTCTGACGGCCTCTTCAATAATACCTGCCTTTCCCAGCATCCACAGAACATCCGAGTAGGTTGTGATCTTTGGTTCAAATCCTCTTTCCTTCATCTCCTCCAGAAACTTACACGCTAATTCTGGTCTACTCGCTTCCACTAAGGAATGAATGAGATCACTGTATGATTCTCGATCTGGCTCACAACCTTGTCTTTTCATCTCGCTGAACAGGCCAAGAACCTGGTCTGCTTTACCAGCCTTCCGAAAAGCACTCATAATTGCACTATATACCACCACATCGGGTTTACATCCAGATCTTTTCATTTCCTGAAAGAACTCCCAAGCAGCATCTACTTTGCCAGCCTTCCCAAAGAATGTAATGAGGGACGAATAAGTGAAATTGTCGGGCTTGCCTCTGACTTGCATATTGTGGAAGACCTTCAAGGCATCCTCCAAATTATTGCCTCTTCCCAGAAAATGTATTAAGGAGTTGTACTTGCTCACAGGAAGATGAGATTTCGTGAGCGTGCACGCATCATCCACTCTGCCACACTTGACAAAGCTGCTGTACAAAATGTTGTGGGTGATCCTATCCGGCTCCAGCCCAGACTCTTTCAGTTTTTCGAAGTAGCTCCAGGCCTTCTGATCATCTCCTGCCTTTATGAGCAAGTCGATTAAGCAGTTATAAGTTGCAACATCTGGAGGAAAACCGAATTCCTTCATATGCTCAAAGGTGTCAACAGCTTTGTCGATTTTTTTGGCACCAAAGCTTCGAATGATCACTGTGAATGTGACTGCATTAGGCTCACAACCATCGCGCAGCATTTCCTCCATTAGACCTTTCATCGCTACAAAATCCTTATTACTGCCCACGATTCCAATCATGGTATTGTACACACAAGTATTATGCTTATATCCCTTTTGTTCCTTAGCCCACTGAAAGAAACCCACGGCCACTTGAACTCTCTGCTGCTGCTTCAAAATTTGATTCACAATGTAAGGCTCAAGTGACAGTTCCATTCGATCCAATGTTGAGATAAGGTCAGGTCCCCACCATTTCTTCCCTGTAAGAAGTCGGCAGACTCTGGCCACCTTTTCGTCTCTTCCATGCCCGTATATTTTCGCCCACTGTCCTCGATGATGATCAGTCTGATGATGACTTTTCTGCACTCTGGCGTTAGAATGATGCACCCCATTTTCAACTCTGTCCTCTTCTATTCTCTGACTTTCTTTAAGCCCCAGGCGGTACTCTCTTAACCATGTCTGGGTCGAGCCCTCCACATATTCCACTGCAGACCAAGTCGACGAAAACCTCACACCTTGCAGCTCCAATCCCCCGGCTGCCAAGAACCTTAATTTTGACAAAAAGCTCCATCTTTGAGCATCGTCTGTAGTAATATCATTGACAAAACCCTGTCGAACATTTTCCTGGCTTCCATTTGCGGCTGCGGAGGAAATCCTCTGCGGCTCAGATCTTGCAAAAACACGTGCATCTACACCAGGCACAAATCGCAATTCTCCCCATCTTTTACGCAGGAGCAATGGTAAAGTCGTGGATCGTTGAAGAGATTTCATTTGAATCTGAAATGGAAGGAGACGTTGCAACGTCCGCAGCCCTCCAACAACTCAAATTCCTTTCATCCCTCCTGATTGTCACGCTTGCCGGCCGCTACTTAACTTCAATGCTCCAGAGAGGCAGCGTCCAGGCACGGGCACGAACCTCGCCCTACCTCTGGAGATGAGACTGCCGGAGTAGAACAAGCCTACTACCCATGCTTAGAGAAAGGTGCGGTATCAGCCTGCAACCCACAAGGGCAAGAACAAGATCAGCATCCGTTGGTCAAAACAATGCTCGGAATTCATGAGCGGCAGGAGAATCCGACATACTCAGATCAAAAAAGAGGGGATATCTAGAGGCGAGCTTTTCAAGGACACACAATATCAGAGACCTAACAACGAATCGCCCATATTGGGAAGGCGTGCAGACGATTGGACACTCGGCCCCTGCTTTGTGCTTTCTCCCTCCGTGCACTTGACAAAAAAGTTGTTACGCCGCAAAGACGAACGTCTGCTATCATGATCAGATCGACAGCAATGCCAGCAGGTGAACGGAGCACGCCAGGCGGGCAGGCAGACAACAACAAGCAACAATGACAAACTCGGTCGATGCCGGGCACTCCTCCATCCTCACAAGTAACAGCACCCCATTCTCGACCACTCGCTCAAGACTCACGTCTCATTTCCAGATCCAAACAATGTGGTGACCGAAACAAGGCCATTTCGAGAGTAAGTCAATCAGAGCCCATTCGAAAACCCCGAGGTGAGTGCTCAATTGGCAGCTCGAGGGTTGTCCACGCTCTCACCGCCCTCTATTGCATCATCACCGTCACCAAGTGCAGACTTTCCAGATCAAGGGCTTAGGGTTTATGGAATTGGTCACCCTTGACAGAGTGGAGACAAGACGAGCATGGCTCATCCCTCGTCTCCTCATCCATGCCCGCCGCAAGAATAAAGAAGTAGAGTTCCCCCTGTCTAGTCTTCAGATGTAGAATCCCTTACATTCTTTATTACTAAAATCTTCATATCCTACGAAAGGGATAACCCTGTCCGGGTGTTGACCTCTTTCGTCCTGCTGATCACTTCCTCCTGAAAGAGGAGAGCGTGCCAAATATTCTCACGCGAAAATCAACGAACCTGCACAGCGTAGTTAAGAATCGAAGCCTCGAGAATCTTCTTCATCCACTCGGTTAGTCATCGATCGAGAAGACTGAACCACGTTCTTTCCTCCTGATGTCGACCAATCGGGCCCGGTCCGATGGGATCGACCAAAGTCCAGTCCGTCCCTTCTGGTGAGAGAAGGTCCAAAATAGAAGGTGCACACCGACTCCGCAGTTCCGGAATGCAGGAACTGGAAGAATGTGCTCATCTGCTCAGAAGATCGTCGTCAGCAGAAAGCACAGGATCAGACGTCTTCCGGGCAGCCAGAAAGGGCCGGGTGAGTCTAAATTCACCGAACGGGTTAAAGCCGGTCGAGGCCATCATGCACATGCATGTGATCATTCTGGGGCTTTGCGGCCATTGTGCGAGCCAACCATATCCTCGGCCGGGCTCGGAATCCGGCGCCAGCGCCAGCGCCAGCGCCGCAGCGATCGCGGGCCCGCGGGGCCACCCGACCCGTGCTCTCGCTCGAGACAGACCTCGTGGATCGTGCAAGGCTTAAGAGCTGCGAGCGCACCGCTCGGAAGGTCTATAATCTTCTTCTCCTTCCTCGTTCGACCGCGGCTCGAGCGGAGGACGATTCGAAGAGGAAGAAGCAAGAACGAAAGCCTCGTAGGCCTCTCTTAGGTGTGAAGCGAGGTCGCGTCGCTATGGGATCCGTGAAGGAATGGGGCAACACGAGCCTCGAGGAGGCGGACGACGAGATTTTCTACCTGGTAGAGCAGGAGAAAATGCGCCAGTACAAGGGCATTGAGCTCATTGCGTCCGAGAATTTCACCTCGCAAGCTGTGATCGAAGCTCTGGGTAGCGCCCTGACCAACAAGTACTCCGAGGGTCTCCCCGGCGCTCGTTATTATGGAGGTAATGAGTTCGTGGACCAGATCGAGAACCTGTGCAGAGCGCGAGCCTTGACGGCGTTCCACTGCGATCCTGCGAAATGGGGTGTCAACGTCCAGCCTTACTCTGGAAGCCCTGCCAATTTTGCAGTGTACACCGCTCTGTTGAATCCCCATGATCGCATTATGGGCTTGGATCTGCCCTCAGGTGGTCACTTGACCCACGGTTACTACACAGCCCATGGAAAGAAGATCTCCGCCACATCTATTTACTTTGAAAGTCTCCCTTACAAGGTCGACTTTGCCACTGGCTACATCGACTACGCAAGGTTGGAGGAGAAGGCTCTGGACTACAGACCGAAATTGATCATTTCTGGAGGCAGTGCCTATCCTCGTGATTGGGACTACGCCCGGCTTCGCACCATTGCTGACAAATGTGGCGCCATGCTCATGTGCGACATGGCCCATTTCAGCGGTCTCGTGGCTGCTCAGGTACCTTACTATCTCGCTGCTCTGTGCGCATTTCAACGTGTTCTCGTAGAATGATCCAAGCATAGCATTCTTATTCCAAAGCCTAGTCAAACTTTGGAAATATCTTGCGTAGGATCTATGCGACGCTTAGCTGAGAAAGATCGATACCTTTCCTCTGATGTTTTCTTGACACACGTTCAGGAGGTTAACAACCCGTTCGAGTACTGCGACGTGGTGACCACCACCACCCACAAGAGTTTGAGAGGTCCTCGAGCGGGTATGATTTTCTACAGAAAGGGACCCAAGCCCGCCAAGAAAGGACAGATCGGAGAAGTGAACTATGATTATGAGGACAAGATCAACTTTGCAGTCTTCCCTTCATTGCAGGGTGGACCTCACAACCATCAAATTGCTGCTCTTGCCGTGGCTTTGAAGCAGGCTAACACTCCCATGTTCAAGGAGTACGCCAAGCAAGTAAAGGCGAATGCCGCCGCCATCGGTGCTGCTTTGATGAAGAAGGGCTACAAGATGGTGACTGATGGAACCGATAATCATTTAGTGCTTTGGGATTTGAGACCACTTGGACTCACTGGTAAGTTCACTCTGACCTCTTGCTCATATAGCTCCCGACCATGTAATGGACATGGGTTTGGCCAGTCTTGCTCCAGTAGAGCTATTCCTGTCTGATCAAAGATTTCACGATGCCTATGCTTGTTTCGAATGCTCTGACATTATCTGGCATTTCCGGCCCGCAGGAAACAAAGTTGAAAGAGTTTGCGAGTTGGCTCACATTACTTTGAACAAGAATGCTGTTTTTGGTGATAGCAGTGCTCTCGCACCTGGTGGAGTTAGAATTGGTAAGTAGAATGCTTGTCTGGAGACCTTTATGTTTCCTCAGCTGTCACGGAATGGCCTGCAGCAGGTCCAGTTAGCTGCCCCGAATGTCGATCGCGATTGACGGGAGATCTGCTCTTCAAGAAAAAAGAATGATTGAGTAGCTTCACGGGCAATTTGTTTTTCATGAGAGGCCTTCGATGATTGCATCTACTGACAATAGGTTCGACGAGATTGATTTTTATGGATTTGTAGTTTTTTGTGGGAGTCGGCGGAGATGAAGAAGTATTAACATTACCATGATGGGGAATTATCCAGGTGCACCCGCTATGACTTCAAGGGGTCTGAAGGAGAAGGATTTCGAGCAGATAGCTGATTTTTTGGAACAGGCAGTGAACATTACGCTCTCTGTACAGAAAGAGTATGGAAAGCTGCTAAAAGACTTCAACAAGGGCTTGGTGGACAACAAAGAGATTGCTGCATTGAAGGAAGCTGTCGAGAAGTTTGCTGCGTCGTACGATATGCCTGGATTCGATGTAAACGCAATCAAGATGCCTGTAAGCGCCTGATTGTCAACCAATGATACAGAAATTTTCTCTAGGAAGTCAATTCTCGTCTAGAAAAGTTTCTTAGGCAATCATCTTTCATTCTTTCATCTAATTATAAAAGCACTTTTACAGAAGTTCTCTTGTCAGACTCGGCAGTGCATGTCCTTTGTTCGTCTTGTCGGGTGTGTTCATGGGCAACCCAGGATGTCAAGTTGTCTTATAATTTACTGCTCCATCTGGTTACTCACTCTGGCCGTCTGGCCTTCGATTGCGTGACCTGAAAATGCAATGAATGAAACAGAATGCAGAGAAATGCTCTAAGGCACAGAATGATGAATGACGCCAAATTTTTCGTTTTAGAAATGAAAAATCTGAAAAATAGATGGAAATCTCTGTAAAGATGAACCAGAATCTGAAAAATCTCGGGTGGTGGAGACCAAGCTACCGTGGTCTGAATGAGAAAACTTAGTAGTAGATCTGCTGAAAGGATGGCGGGCTCCGTCGGCTTTTGAGTATGGTCTTTCAAGAGGTGTGGCTCTGATTGCATGCTCGATTTGTTACCGGGTGACCGAGAAGTTGATGTGCAGAGCAGTGTGAACTTACCTTCTGTCTATGACTAGATACCAAGCTATGTAGTTTGCGATACCACAATCATCCACACAATTAAGAAACGTCTGCACATCATCACTTTTCCATAGATCAGAGTTCTATGTTCCTGCATGTTCAAACATGTACAGTTCTTGTTACATGCTTGCACAGTATAATGCATATACATCTAGTCAGACTACCTCATACATATTCTATATGTATGTAAACCCCCTAATATGGGACGCCTTTAACGAAGGATGGGCAGAACTCATCAACTGTATAAAGAACCAAACAAAGGGAATACCAGAGGCTAGGCCACGATAATATCGTGATGAATAGTTTGTCGGTATTTGCGACCTTTTTATTGGCAAGATAAAATTATCTACAACTAACATAGCATTTCATTCATATTACAAAGCAAGATGTATCTTGATCTCAACTTATTATCTAGCTGAGATCGGAATACTCCTTGTTGTATATTATAATAGTCTCTAGACAACTTCCTCACAAATATGCAATTAGATAAATTAATACTCAGTATTTAGTAATAACAAAGAATCTACTACTTTTCATACCCCTATCTTTAGAGAATTTTGGATGTAACCTCACATACATCGTCGATCGCAGAAGATGAACGATAATCTATTAAAAAAATTCTGTAAGTACAATTGATAAACACGATATTGATAGTCATCAAGTATTGATGAGACCTCATCCCCACATCTTAGTCTAATGCAATGTACATCACCTCTCTCCATGTCATGTATACACGCTCGCACATCATCGAAAACATCACTATCTAAAATCATAGTGCATATCTATGCCCTATCTTTTAAAACGTCATCGGGTGAACTAAATCTAAAGTAGTAACATGAACAATGAAAATGTGGAAATGAAGCCCAAGCAAAACGTCAGCGTCGCAGGTGCAAATCAAAAACCTCTAATGCTTGGTCGGGTCAAGATATAGGAGTAAGATTTCCTATCTACTAAGTCTTGAATGACCATTCTTAACGATTTATATATAACCCAGAATAACTTCACCTCAACTTGAAATTTGTTTTTCCAAGGATTATTAGTATGTTAAGTATGTTGTATCATTGTGGAGAATGTTGTAGAGTTAGATCACAAATACTGTCAGTTTTACATTTTAACTGTGAACTAGCAGTATACAAATATTCTTGTATACTGCTAGTTTAATTGAAAAATATTTACTTATCTAATCATTTAAATACATAAATGATGAGATTTACATGAACCACATGCGGAATCTTCAATAACTTTTCCATTTTGAAGGAAAATGTAATTTTTATTCAAGTGAGATGAAGCAATTTTTTGTATAGATTTTATAATCAAATGTATATGCACAAGTCACAATTGTCTTTAAATCACATGTTAGGAATATTACAGAACATCTGTTAATTTTATTTTTTTTGCTTTAAAATTATTAAAAAATCTATTAATGGCTAGATTTAAGTGTCTTACATTACATATTTTATTTTTTTTTATTTTTTTATGATAGGAAAAGATTAAAAAAACATTAGATTTATGATACCAGATACCAGATTTTCATTAAAAGCTTTGAGCGCTGGGGACGACTGCAGACATCATCGCAGCTGCCTACTGCTTCCAAACCTCACTAATTACAGTTTGCCACACAACCTTACTAGTTACGCAGTTGGATTGTTTTACAAAAGGTGTGCGTATGAAGGCCCCTGCAGTGAGCCCGATGCATATGGTAGGAGTTGCTTTAAATTCTAGTTGTCTAGGCGTGGGCTTTTATCTACCTCCGTAGCCCATGCTCTTGGTTGAAGTTTGCACCTGTTCCAATGGCTATGGCTGGAGGAGAAATTAGACTCGGAAATTAGACCCATTCACCAACCCTGGCCGAGTCTAGCTTTAGAAAGAAAATTTACAACTGAGTTAGCTCTAAACCCTTCTACTTTTTTTTCCTCCATACATTTTTGTTTGTGAGCGATGCATACAGCTTGAGATTGATACAGATGTGAGCTACAACTTATTATCACTAGTGTACATCTCTGTTATCAGGTAGTGGGAAACCGAGTAATGAAGGAAAAATGGAATGATGGGGAAATTTATATCGGTGTTTCTTTCTAGTACCCTACAGTGTTTGACCGATAGAAGGGTATTCTTCCCGTGCTTGGGACGAAATCTGCCGGTTGGCGAACCGACTAACCCGGTCCCATGCGAGCTCGAGCGTTTTGGAGCCGACAGCAAGGACGAGCCACGTCTGCTGGAGGACAGCGTTGGCAGGGAGGCTCGATGACCGGGACAGTCTCTAGTCTCGTAGGCTGGAGCATGGCCAGTGGCATGCGATGCTCAACGTCGGCTTCCCGTCGGAGGGAGACAGGTGAACTGAGGCGACCGGTTGGTCCAAGTTTCGCAAAGCTTGTTCGCAAATTTAGAGCTCGTGTGAATGCATGGAAGTCGACCGATCTCGTTGACTCTGCTGTTTGTGGAAGGGTAGATGAGGAATTGTTGCCCCTTGTCGGGGCTGTGTGAAGACCGACTTCTCGTCTCTGAACGATGGTTTCCGGTGAATTGTTGACAGGGGAATCGGTATTCTGAAAGTCAGCATTGGTGAAGAAATTGGAAGGCCAGAGATATGGGACTTGTTCTGAGCTTGCTAGAGCTGGGAGTGGCATTCGTCTTTTTCCTATTGGTTGCGGCGTTATATTACATAAGGAATCGCAAGAGGAATGCTCAACCTGTCGTAGGGTTCTTCCATCCTTTCACGGAGGACGGAGGTGGCGGAGAGAGAGTGTTGTGGTGTGCTGTGAAAGCAGTGCAAGAACTATTTCCACTATACAGCGTGGTGATCTATACGGGTGATCAAGCCACCCCCGACTCCCTAGCAGCCCGGGCTTCGGAAAAATTCGGCATCCAGCTCAAAGAACCTGTGGTGGTAATTCTTTGAAACGGCTGATATCTTCTTCTTCTTCTTCTTCTTCTTCTTCTTCTTTTATCCAGGACTTAGAGTTGAACCCAATTGGGAATCGAATTGGAAATTTAGACATCTCGTCTACTTGTTGTGTGTTCCCTGTCCTATGCTTGCTTCGACAATATAAGATATTTGTAAATGTTGAAGTTCCTCATTCTCGAGGTTCAGGGGAATCAGTCCAGGTGCCACATCGAGGTAAGGATCAGCTGACCTATGAGTGATCGATCTTGCCAGGTCGCTCGACTGTATCAAAGGAAATGGGTCGAAGCAGCGACATATCCTCGCTTCACTCTGATCGGACAGAGCTTGGGATCAGTGGTCCTGGCGTGGGAAGCGCTGACCGCATTGACTCCTTGGTTGTTTGTAGACACCACTGGTTATGCATTCACATATCCACTGGCCCGTTTGTTTGGATGTGTAGTAGTATGTTATACTCACTATCCAACAATCAGTTCTGATATGCTCACAAGGGTTAAAACGCGCACTTCAACTTACAACAATAATTCGAGGATTGCAAGAAGGCAAGCGAGACATCCACATGTTCCTTCATGGCCTTTGGCAAAACTTTAAGTAAATCCATTTTTCTCGTTTTGACGTAGCTTTTCTCAGAGTGTGCTTTTTCTTGCAGCTTCTGGCTGTCCACGGCGAAGGTCTTCTATTATAGAGTGGTAGCCCGTCTGTATGGTTGGGCTGGAAGCTGCACACATTTGGCAATGGTGAACTCGTCTTGGACTCGTGGCCACATTGAGGAGCTGTGGAAAATTCCCTCCAGAACCTTCCGCGTTTACCCTCCTTGCGATACTTCCACTCTTCAGGTCTTCTATATTCTTCCTCATCAGTTTGTTCCATACCATAATTATATGCATTTGTGATTTTCTACAATGCGCATCATCTGCTAGATGATGCGCATTGTAGAATTTTATGGTGTGATAAGATAGTTATTGTATGAGAGACCTCCAGAGTATAGAGAAGAGCTCAGTCGTAATCTCCGCTTTGAAACTTTGTATGTGGATCTTGAAGCCTCGTTGAAACTCCTCTAGGATAAGAGGAGTTTTGAGGTGCCTATTCCTCGTTTGCACGATCACTCTTCCGCGGTTGCTGTTCCTGCATTTTGTGCTTTTGGTGGATATATGGTAAAGGGCTGTTTTAATTAGAGGATTTATGGTCACGAACAACGCAATACATGCTTGCTTATGATCGAGGCACTGCTAGGTCATGGTTATGATACAATCTCTCTATGCATCTTGTTCTGTGATCACATGGATCGCAGAACAGAGGATTTATGTTCACTGAAAATGTTACACGTGCTTGCCTACTATCGAGGCACGGCAAGAACATGGATCTGGTTCTAGTTGTTGGTGCCTGTCGTTGGAGTAATCGCATAATACTCGTTATTAACATCCTTTGACTCCAGTTTTGCTTACCTTGTGGGCTACGGAGACAGTATAGAGAATTCTAGTGCATTTCATTGATTGTTTCGCTATTACACTATGGGTTGTGAGACCGTAGGATTATTTGGATCAAACTAGAGTCATCGAACAGTAGGCAATCCTTCTTGGTATCTGCTGTTGGAGTAAACGCAGAACATTCGTTGGTTATATCCTTTGACTCCAGTTTACTAATCCTGTGGGCTTTGCAGACAGTCTGTGAGACCCTAGGGAGAATTCTAGTGCACTTCATTGTTTTGCTACTACACACTGGGTTGTGAGACCGTAGGAAAAGTTGGATCGAACTAGAGGCATGGAACAGTAGGCAATACTTCTTGAATTAGCAATGTGTTTTTGTATGCAGGCAGGACCTTATGAAGGCTTTTGACTGTTGGGATGCACTATGGCAAGCAGGCGCTTCCCCTCGAAAGGCGAGTGGAAAGTGGATACATCATTTCTGTAGCTCAGTTTCGACCAGAGAAGGTAGTAAGTCAAATTGCAACCTATATGCTAGCCGTTGTTTGTTCAGCTTGTACATTCGTAAGCCATTCAGTTACAAAGAGGACTACCATTCTCCTGGTTTTGGTGGTCTCTCAACCTTCTTCCCTCGTTCGTTTACGCAGGGATCTCTCACTCTGACCATGACGACAGTAATCGTTATTGTCAGCTTGAGAGATCCTGGACTTCTCTAACTTCTTTCTCGTGTGATCTAGGCTCATGGTCTTCAACTCGAGGCTTTCCGATTAGCACTGGAATCTTTGCCATCAAGTTCAGATTTTCAAGAGGTTCGGTTGAAGATTGTCGGCAGTTGCAGAAACTCAGAAGATGAAGAGCGACTTCAAATGTTGAAAGACACATGCAAACGACTGAAAATTGATAATCGCGTGGACTTTTGTGCGAATGTATCCTACAGGTAAAGCTTTCAACCTGATCTTGACAACAGAGCGAAAGGTTTAGTTGTTCACAGGCTTTGGGACCCGTTGTGTCCAAGGTCGAAACTTCTTTCTTTGGAAATTTGAATAGTCAGGGCATGATAGATCGCATAGTTAGACATGGCTTAACTATGCGATCATCTTTCATGCTTGGAGAGTCCGCTTTGCCTCCTGAAAGCCACAAACGCAAGTTTCAAAATTTATCAAAAGGCGACTTCATCAGAGCGACCTTTAATCGGGATCTTGTGTCACCTATTTTCACCGCAGAGAACTGGTGAAACTTTTAGGAGGGGCAGTGGCGGGTATACATACTATGATTGACGAGCATTTTGGAATCAGTGTTGTCGAGTACATGGCAGCGGGTGCAATTCCAATAGGTTGGTTTCGAACCTTTTCACGCCCCTGTCCATGTTGTGAAACATCTGAAAATAAGTCGGAAGGATTGTCTTTGTTATACAGTGAAGAGTAGCATATAAAATTGAAGTCTCGTCAAGACCTTGCATGTCACGTGATTTTAACACGGATGGAAACCTGTCACTGAGATTAAGAAAACATTCATATGATTCTTGCAGCACACAGATCAGCAGGACCCATGATGGATATAGTGGTGGAAGAAGAAGGACAACAGACGGGTTTTTTGGCAGAAACTGTGGAAGAGTACGCTGCTGCCATATACGAGGTTTTCACATTACCACAGGAGAAAAGACTACAAATGGCCAAAGCTGCTCGCAAGCGAGCGCTGAGGTTCTCAGCCGCAAATTTCGATGAAAGATTCAAGGAAACAATGAAATTGCTACTATAATATTATTACAAGACATCTAGATGCTCTACTCAAAAGAATTTCGATACTGCTGCTTGAAGTTGCTATCTCCTCAAGTGCGCAGATAACCTTTACATACATCTTAAAAGCAAAGTCGTATTGTAGATTACAGACCTAGTCCAGTATGAAGATGGAATTCGATAGGAGATGTCCGAATGAGATACTGAATAGCCTAATACAAGTCCTCACTTTTCATATGGAGGAATTCGTACATTTCCGAGGGCACACCGTGAAATTTCAATTGGAAGGCAGCATTTGAGAATATATGACTTTCATTTGTCAATATTGTTGTGGAATTTTTTTAAGCTGCCTGGCCTACATTCTACTCGTCTAAACTGTAGAATGTGCGGACATGAATAATTTTTTCCATTTGTCCAGGTCCTTGCCCGGACCCTCACCCTCGATGCTACTTATCTCGTACGTTTGGCCGTTGGTGCAATCCAGATCCAACGCTTTCACGCATGCCTCGGCAACTACTATCCTGCTCGCTTCTCCAACGAGTTTGTCTCCCTGACCGATGATGACATCCCGCCGAGTTCCGGCAGTTGCCTTGAGCAATGTATTCAGATCATACGAGGTGTAGGGCCCATCCGTCAACCTTCCTGGCCTGATGATTGTGAACGTCTTGCCCGAGTTTCGCAAGTAATCTTCTCCCAATTTTTTGTATTTGAGCACCCCGAAGAGATTCATTATGTTCCATGGTAACTGATCAGATTTGGTTACTCCGACCGAGGACACCAATATAATCTTTTCTACGGTTGAAGGAAGGGCATCGATCAGGTTTCTAACAGCTAGCCAATCCGTTTGCTCGGGTCCATTATTTCCATCCCAGCGCTTAGATGGGAATGCTGTGGTGCCTGTGCAACAAATGACATGGGTGACGCCCTCCACAACAGATTGGTCTAGAGAATCAGGTTGCCTACAATCTGCAATCCGAAATTCAAAGCGATCACCTTGGTCGCCGAACAAAGCTTTTGCCTTTTCCGCATTTCTGAGTAATGCCCGTACCTTGATTCCCTTCTCCAGAAGAGATGCAACTACGAGCTGCCCGACGCCTCCAGTAGCCCCCGCAACCAGAACATTCTTCGAAGTCGGCTGCGCTTCGACAGGTCCCGCGCCAGTGGAGACAGCAGCTTCAGAGCACCTCACTTGCAATCTCCTACTTTCCGGTCCACGGCTTCGAGACAGCTCAACGAAATGATTCCCACACGGTGTGTCAAATTTCAAGCCTTTCGATGGCTGACACTGCCTACTACCGAGTCCCAAGAGAAATTGAGGAGGAGTGTGTGACACCCCGGGATTTCGGAAATTCGAACACGAAGTGCTAGTCTGACCGAAGTTGCAGGGTAGCGCCATGCAAGCCATCTTTGCGAGGTTTGCTCAAGCTGTGTCTCACGACGCAGTGCCGACCCTCCTGTGCCCGCCTTTCCTTATCTTCCCGACTTCGAACCATCTTTCGTTCGTCGCCACTCCTCTGGCGCATGACAGTGTTCCTTCTGGGAATAGAAAGCTTTTCCCCTTCTTATCCTTCAAGATCCCGAGCTTGCAACTCGAGTAGGTCAAAAGTCTCCTGTCCATGCAAACACGCGTGCCCAAGGAAACCTTGCAGCAGCCGATGTTCATATCCTGCTCTGGACTCTACCAAAAGTTCACATAGAGCGAGCACTCACTCTCTTAGCCAAACCCGGCTCCCCCTGATGTCAACGGAGCTGGACGGAGTTAAACGGCAGTCTAATTCACTTTGCCCAAGGTTGTAGATTAATCCCGTCTCGATCAACCTTGGCGTGCATTTTGTAAAAATCAAGGCCCGTGCTCGAATCTTGCAGGACGTCTCGACCCGTGCGCAAACCAAGTCTATTACGTTCGAGCGAGCGGCATGACGATCAAAAATTGGCAGCTCTTGTAAACTTGTCCGCCCCACTTTCACACGAAGGTGCAGTGCATGGGATGGAAATATTGCATCACATTGCGTGCAAGTACAACATTCTGAGCGATAGAAAAAAGATCTCTTCCGCGCAGTGCAAAACCAGTGCAACGAGAATGAAAATTGACAGACGCATGCACAACCAAAAAACGCACGACGCCATCAAACGAAAACCATCACCAAGAAAACGAAGCCGAGGCCAAATGGAGCAAAAGCCCGAGGACGGGACAGGACGGGGGAGGAAAATCTCTACTCAGTCATTTGTGAACTCCGTACGTCTGATATCTACCGCGTAGCCATAGGTTGGGGTCTGCAACAAGCATCAACGTCGTAGACATGTTTCTAGCTATCTGCAGGTGCGGCTACTGGAGCACAGTAGTTTACCATTTACCATTTACAGTCTCTGGTTACTCCAGCTACCGGGCGTGGTATAGTTTCTTGGGCGTTAGGTCGACGTGGATGGACTACGTAGCAGTGCAGTTAGCTTGGCTGTGGGATGAACTCTGACAAGAAAGGTACAGACAAAGCGCTTGGAATGCGCAGGCTCGAGAAATGTAAAGGCCAAGTACTCTGCTCTTCCCAAACACGACACGTGGCGCATGCGGACGGCGGGCAGGCCGAGCCAGAATACTGTACAATGAACGATCGATCGCGGTCCTCCTCTTGCTCATTATTGGCCTTTTCTGTCGGCCAAGAAAGGCGACGACGACGGCGGGCGACGGCGGGCGACGGTTCTCGCGCGTTTGGCATTCGGGCACCGGGAGGTTCTCGAGATGACTGGGCAGGGGGTTTGACTTTCATTCCGCAGTCCACAGAGGGTTCGGACAGGGTCAACGGTAGATCGATGCGGCATCGGACGGGCGAGAGGCGATCCATTTGGACGAGGAGGAAGAAGCAACTGAGCGACGCGGGCTCGTCAAGACGAGGGCGCGGGCGCGGGCGCGGGCGAGCGGGGCGGGACCCGCAACGTGGAGCAAGAGGACAGGAGTCGGGAGCGAGGCCAGGAGGCGAGAGAATTGCAGCAATTCATGCGCATAAGATCTTCGATTGACGAAGTGGATCCATCAGCGGCACGGAGGGGTTGGATCCGGAGCATCCCGAGATCAATGTTGTCGAATTCCGGTCATTTTTTGCCCGGGGAGCGCACGGAGTGTGCATGAGTCGAATGTGGTCGCGAGGCCGAGCACGCGACGCCAGAACTGATTGACAATCCGCCGATCGATCGGATGTCCACGCCCGAAAACAGAGAGAAAAATTCCGGTCGTGCGGTGCCTCCTCCTGTAGGAATAGCGAGAGTTCTCGCCAGGGTGAGACTCCTCCGAAAGCAGGAGGTAATTGTGTCATGGCTGCGTGTTGGCCAGTCCACGATGCGCAATTTGATCGCCATGACGACGGTGGTTCGATTTGAACTCTGATGGTTCAATTTGGAGCGGCCTGAGACGAACACGGAGGAATGTCTTGGACCTTGGCAAGTTGGAAGCGGCAGGCTGATATATTTCATCTGATTCTTGGATACGGAGATCAGGACAGTGGTGGTGTGGATGATCTGCCTCTCCGTGTGAGAAATGGGGTGCAACCTCTGGATCTCAAGTTTCCCCTCGGAGGCCCTGCAGATCTTATCTCTGCCTGTAAATACAAAATTCAGCTTGATTGGGCAGCAGGGGACGATGAAGATCAAGTCGCACTTAAGCTCCAGTCGCAACTCATGGTTACATTGCCTTCTCCCCATGATGAAGTTGCTGTGCGTATCGGGCAATTCGTAGATACTAAGAATACTGAAGAAACGGATTCTCCTGAGTCCGATGCAGATCCACAGGCAGTGCCCGAAGATGAGGTTGAGGTGGAGTCTGATGTACGCGTGACTTTCAATGTTTATAAGACTAGAGAGCATCTTAAACTGGTGTCTTTATCGCGAACGGTAGGTTCTGGGCCTTCTGTAGATGGCTTGGGAGTCCTTAACAGAATTCTGGACAAATTTGCGAACTCAAGCACACCAGAGGAGGTTTCAGGTTTTAAAGAACATTGGCGTGTCCTCTCCGTGCTCAACCTCTCCAACTGCTCTTTAACCGTGCGTATGACAAACCCTTCCTTGACTATGTTACGGGATTCAAGGAGGCTTTGAGAACCTTTGATGAATCTTTATAGGTTAGGAAGTTTTATGAGAACTTATCAGCTAGGTGGAGGTCTAGTTCTAGTTGGAGGTTAAATCTCTTGTTTATCATTGACTCTAACAAAACTGAACTATCAATCTTTGCTCCTTACAATGCAATGCAAGTGCTGAATTGTGAAAAGTTAGTGCACTTAAAAATCTTCTCCAGTTAAGTTTATAAGACATATCAGAGTGAGTGATATTTGGATTCGATTTCTGCCAATTGTAGGGTCTTCCGATCGAATTAGCACGTTTGCCTATGCTTCAAAGACTCTACCTTGACAACAACAAGATTACAGTTTTGCCTCCAGAATTGGGCCAACTTACCCAACTCAAAGTGCTTCGGGCTGACCACAATCTGCTCACATCTGTGCCAGGTTATCTACTATTCCTTGTGAAAAGCTTCAAGAATATATATCAGGAAGAGTTTTTCCAATTCTTTAAAACACTACTTGCAACACTCGCTGTAACAAACATAACACAGAGTTGTAATTAGGAAATCCTTTCAAGTCCGCCCCACTTTATATCATGATTTATATCTTTGAAATGCAGTACCTATCATGTATCAGGTCTAGATGGCCGATGATGAAGTTTTTCACTTGAGTTGCTGTACTGTGAAATGTATCAGACGAAGTAGAAGTCAATCAAGAAAACATCTTACATCCTGGAAATGGTTGCAAGAGCGTTAATATGATATCTTCGTCCATTTTGCAGTTGAGCTACGTCAGTGTCTTGGGTTAGTTGAGCTATCTCTTGAACACAATAAGCTTGTTCGGCCTTTGCTGGATTTCAGGTTAGTGATTTCTCTTTGCGGACATCAGTGTAGTTTTTCAGAGATTTTTATCTGTGTACTTTCTGCTATTCTGGTTGTAGTTGATTCTCAATAGTAAAAGATGTAATGCAACCTCACGAACACAGCATCACGATAGCAAAATGACATCGTACATTAAACTGTCACCGAGTTTTTTTCAGGTCTCGTTGACCTCTGACTGAATACATTTAAACATGGTCTGAATATACTGTTCCCCTGGGTTTAAACAGGGCCATGTCAGAACTGCAGGTATTGAGACTTTTTGGCAACCCGTTGGAGTTTCTGCCTGAAATACTTCCCTGTACAAAGTTACGACACCTGTCACTAGCCAATGTGCGCATTGAAGCTGATGAGAGCCTTATGGACATCAATGTGGAAGTTGAGGTGAGCAATTACTGCACACAATTTATTCTCAGGCACGTAAGTATAAAATACTTCCTATAAGATTCTGCCGATAGTTCTAACATTTCCGTCAAGGTAAAGTTCGAAGTAGTCAAGATATATCAATTTGTTATACCTTGCTGAATGATGTTGGAACGTTACTTCAGCCCCAATATATGTTGCAGAATTTTACTTGACGGTATTCGATAATTAATGTTGTGATGCAGGGAGTTGAGAGTACATCTTATTTTGCTGCCTCCAAGCATAAGCTCAGTGCCTTTTTCTCTCTTATATTCCGATTTTCCTCCTGTCAACATCCATTACTGGCATCTGCACTGGCTAAAATTACTCAAGATAATAGCAATCGAGCAGCAATCGGCAAAGATGAGAGTGCTGTACGCCAACTATTGAGCATGATTCTTAGTGATAATCGTCATGTGGTACGCAAATCTTTCTTTTTACCAAGCCTTTGAAAACCAAAACTCGTAGTTGCTAAATAATAATCTGGCGCATTCTATATTCATAAGATGTAAACTACAACCACACTCTTGCACGTGATATCTCCACAATAGCAAAATAAGTTCAAAGTTTACCTATTTGAAAAATAGGAATGTAATTAATTTGCACTTATTTCGTTGCTTTTGTTAGATTGTTCTCTTGGTGTCTCATTTATCTGAACCATTTCAATTCATTATGTCTCTGTTTTTGTTTTATTTCACCGTGAGCCACAGTTTTTATTTATTTCATCTTGTATTACTATTTTGAATTAATCCGCTATCTTCAAAAGTATTTCATCTGTATATTCCACATGGAAATTTCCACTTTCTGTATTGCTGCTTTTGTTAGATTGACGTGTTGGTATCTCAATCATCTGAACCATTTTTCATTACCTTATGGCTGTATTCTTTTATTTCATTGTCAGCCATAACTTGTCATTTCTTCCTATTCCGAAGAACTCCGCTATTTTCAAATAAGAAGTAATCGGTGTTTTCTATTTGGAAATCTAAACGGTATCTGTTGTGGTGCCTTGTGCACTTCTCTAAACATCGCTATTCATTCTTTTGTTCAGCTTTTGTTCTTCTGTTTTCGTCTGGGCTAGGGTTTAGGTCGTTGACAAGTCCCTAAACTGCCTACTTGCAGGTTGAGCAGGCATGTATTGCACTCTCTGCATTGGCAGTAGATACAACTCTTGTGCTGCGATTGATGAGGGCTGATGTTGTACAAGCAATTGAATTTGTTTTGAGATCAACATCTACGGAACTTCTTATTTCGGTTCTCAAAGTAGTAGTCAATATCGCATTCACGTCTGATGCTGTGGCTTCTAAAGTGCTCACCAAAGACATCTTCAAACGACTCAAGGCCCTATGTTCTAACACCAACTCTGAGGTTTGTTCTACTCACATCTCTCCATATCATTCAAGCACAAAATCCTCGTTCCCAAAATTCTTGTAGGCAAAATAATTGACATTTGTTCTAAAACTCGTCGGCTCATACATTGATGAAGGTATTTCTTTCGGGTCCTAATTTCTTTACCTAAAATAAGCATCACTTCAAAATAAATGTATGGTTTGTTTGCTGTTTGAAAGGCTTAAAATACAAACCCGTTCTTTGTCTTAAGTATGGCCTCTATGCTTATGGTTCTTTTCTGTAAGCAGGTACAGCGACAGGCCCTTCTGGCTATTGGTAATCTGGCATTCAGCTGGGAAAACAGACGCACATTAGTAGCGTCTGAAACTCTTCGAGAAATGCTACTCCGTTTATCTAGTGGACAAGAAACGCGTGTCTGCAAAGCCGCTGCAAGGGCTCTAGCTATTCTTGGTATGAATGTTTATCATGTTTTTCTGATCATGTTCGTCTTAATGTTTTCATTTTAAACTTCTTCAATGTCTCATATTAACAGATTTCTGTTAGTTTGCAGGCGAAAATGAGTATCTGCGTCGCGCCGTTAAAGGAAAACCAGTAGCAAAGCGAGGATTGCGAATATTATCAATGGATGGCGGTGGGATGAGAGGTTTGGCAACCGTAGAAATTCTGAGGAAATTTGAAAAATACTCAGGAAAACATATCCATGAAATGTTTGACCTTATCTGCGGCACTTCCACTGGCGGTATGCTTGCTGTGGCTTTGGGGATCAAGCAGCTATCTCTTGATCAATGTGAAGAGATATATAAGACATTAGGTACAAGAAACTGCCATACGAACATTTGGATTTGCATGTTTCAATTCAACAGGTTTCTAGATCTTCAAGGAGATAACACAGCTTTCAGCTTATATTTAACAAGGAGCAGCCTAAATTAGTGCGTTATGTGCAGGGAAAGTTGTTTTTGCTGAGCCTCCTCCGAAAGAGAATGAAGCAGCTACTTGGAGAGAGAAAATAGATTCATTGTACAAAAGTTCTTCACAAAGCTTTCGGGTTGTTGTGCACGGATCTAAGGTAAGAAGAGTTGAAAATCGGTTACTTTTGACATTTTGAAACAACCCAAGTAATTATTTTCAAATGAGAAGTTTTGTTTCTTTTCAAATAGAGTTTTTTTTTCCACCTTCATAGTTTAATGTTATTTAGGATATCGTACATGCGGGCTTCTATTTTTGTTCCTATTCTCATTAAGTGGTGAACATCATGAATGTTGAATGATAATGTAGCACAATGCGGACGAATTTGAACGATTGTTGAAGGAGATGTGCGCGGATGAGGATGGGGACTTGCTTATAGAGTCAGCAGTGCGGAAAGAAGTTCCCAAAGTTTTTGCCGTTTCTACATTAGTTAGTGTTGTGCCAGCCCAACCATTCGTCTTCCGAAACTACCAGGTATCAAACCTTTTCCATCAAAATGGATCTCGTCTTTCCTCATATGTATATTGACGTTCTCCCTTTCCGAAGACAGTTCTAAGTTCTTCAAAATGTCTTATATATATGTGTGGTCCTAAGATGAATGGATGGAACATATTTCAAATCTTAACAAATACAAACAGCGCAACTGTACACAAAATATGAGCTACACAGTATCAGAAATATATGTTAAGTGAAGTATTCTAAGGATGCAAGTGATTGTGGAGAAGCGTAATCTCCTTTGTTGTTTATGTTTCTTCATAAACTCCTGAAACGTGTCATAGTTCTCTGATTTTTTGTGTTATAGCGTGAAGGACATAGACCACACGTTTCTCGGCCTTTTGGCTAGCTTAGTGTTTTATAGATATTCTTTTTACATATTCGTTTGCAGGTCTGGTATGAAAATCTTAGCAGTCATCAAGTTATTATTCATGACAATATGAGCGCTATGCTCTTGAATATATGCTTGTAACATAAAATCCTGCTGCTGCATGTCGATATATGCTTTTGAACAGTATCCTCCCGGAACACCAGAAACAGCTCCTTGGACAACGGATGGACCGGCTGCTTCTGTATCTGGCAGCGCTGCAACAGCAGCTCCTTTAAGTACTCCCATAGGGCCCAAGAGAACTGCTTTCATAGGCAGCTGCAAGCATTTTGTATGGGAGGCCATCAGAGCTTCTTCAGCTGCTCCCTACTATCTCGACGATTACTCAAGTGGTGGGTACAGAGAAAAATAACTTCAAAAATCTGCTTCATAATTTGGGAGCTCTTTATAATCAAACTCGGATGTTTAAGGACGATTGTTTCAGACCAGTGAACAGAAGGAAAGCGAAAAAGCACTTCCAGAATACAGCAATTCCTTTGAGTAGTCATCTAGTTTTGTGTGCGTTCAAATTTGATGACACGGGCAAATAACAAAAAACGAGGGAGGACTCCCAATCAAGTCGTACAAGGATTAAACCAAACGGGTAATGTGGGGCATAGCATCCCCATCACAATGGGTAATAGATACTGAGTTCCAATAGATGAGAAATATACATTACCTTTTATGCGTTAGAATAGAGATTCTTCACCTGCGCTTGCATCTTTTGACATACAATCTCTTTCTGCAGAGTCAAATCGCTGGCAGGATGGGGCGATCGTTGCAAATAATCCCACTATCATTGCTCTACGTGAGGCCCAGCTTTTGTGGCCAGATGTTCCAATCGGTTGCCTTGTTTCGTTGGGCTGTGGGAATGTCCCCAACAAGGTATGTTTTCAAAAAGAATATCCCATAAAGATCCAATTATCTGAGGATGTAAATCCTTTCATCGATATCTCTTGTTATTCTTGTCAAAAACTATGGTTTTTATACCAGTTGCTCCCCTTAGTTTGCTTGACCGAGGTGCAGTAGACTTACTGCTTTGGGAATGTTGTGTAATTGGGGTGAAACACAAACATTTGATGTTTATCGTGTCGGAATTGAATTTAATGTCTGTACTGTTATCGGGAATTGTTCCAGCCTCGAGGTAAAGGAGGGTGGCGATACTTGGATACTGGCCAAGTTTTGATAGAAAGTGCTTGTTCTGTCGAACGCGCAGAGGAAGCTCTAGACGCTCTTTTGCCTCTAGTGGATGGTATCCGATACTTTCGATTCAACCCAGGTTGGTTAAATATAAGTTTTTTGCACATAACAATCAAAATCAAAGACTTAAGTCAACAACCCAATAGAGAGAAACCCATTGATCATGATGTCATGCATACTGTTGTTGTTTAGCGGCCCGGATTGATTTGCAGGCCCTAAGAAGTAACTATGCATAGAATATGGCACTTATGATGTTATATTTAGACATTTAATAAGAGGAGACGAACGATGTGGCAAATTTGTGGTGGTTTCATAGCAGTCATTTTTGGACTGTGTTCAGTTGATGACAGGTGTGGCATGGAGCTTGATGAGACGGATCCAGTAGTGTGGGGTAGACTTGAGGCTGCTACTCGTGAGTATCTTGAAGCTCATGACTCATACATCAAAGAGGCATGTGACACACTTGAACCCCCTTCTCAGAGCGAGGATACGTGGCATGAAAGACACAAAAATGGACGTTTCTCTGCACCAGGCAAGCAAGTGAATAAAGGTAAGAGTCCGCTGCTCAGTTGAAACCGTCTACTATCTTCCTGAGGTCTTAGTGCATATACAGAATATGGCGTTTGCTTGAACGTTTGGACAAAAGTTAAGAGTTCAACAGGACTCAAAACCCTTTGGTCTCTCTCGCAGGATCCGGGGACGTTACAGGTCTTGGCTGGAGACGTAGAGTTCTTTTAGCTGAAGTTCGTCGTAGCCCTGACTTGCTAAAGCCCTTTAGGCATACACGCGCTTTGGAAGCGTACTGTGAGCGCTACAACATCAAGCTGGATCATTTGATCACTGTCCCTACTTCAACCGTTGCTTCGACCACTACTGGCCCCACCCCACCATATGCCTCTCCTTCCTTCACGGGAAGTTTTCCAACGAGTCCTCTATTGTTCAGCCCGGACCCAGCGCTTCTTCTCCAAGCGAAACTTGAGAACCTCCCACCTCTGAATCTTGACGGTGGTCACGGTCCGAGTTCTCATAAAATATCACACTCACCACCCTTATCGCCTCCAAGAGGTCCTCGCGAACTCACAGGACCTGTCTTAGCTCTTCATGAGAAGCTTCGTAGTTCACCTCAGCTTGGCATTGTACATTTAGCACTTCACAGCGATCTATCAGGTCTCATCATGAGGTAATGAATCTGTTATACTTATATGGGCGATCCGGGTTGATCCTCTTAAAGTTATTTATCTTGTTGTAGATGTAGTTGGGCTCATGAATAGCTTTCAAATAAAGCATAACGTGCAGTGTCTTTCACTTATATGTTATTCACCATCGCCTCTCATGGTGACTTTTCTCCAATTTAATTACACCAAAGTCAACAGTTACGTGTAGCGGCGATTGCAGGCTACTGTATCTTCCTAGCTGATTCCAGTGTTTACGTGCCAGCTGGAAAAGCGACATTATTTCTGTAGCGGAGCCTGGGGAGATGGCAGAAGGGTTCTTGCAAACTGTGGTAGCAAACATGCGAATTGGTGTCGCCAGTAAATCAAGAAAGAAACGGAGTTCTCATCTCCCAAAATTTTCTTCGCTAAGTAGCTTGGTCGCAGCATGTCCCCGATTCATGATTGGAGGAGCTCTGCACAGATTTATGGGCCGTCATACGCAGGTATACCCATACTGATTCCTCGAGCATGTATTCCAGAAAGTCTTCATGTAGGCAAGTCGCGTATGCCTGGGTCATGAACCCTGTTGCTGTTACCTTTTGTTTGCCTTAGTCTGGAGTCCTGAATTTTGTGGGCGGATATTGTAATGGTTTTTGTTATCGAAGGTACTGCCTGACGGACAGGAGGTTGGATCTTATCTGTTTCGGAGAACTCTGCCCGCATCACACCTTGTACCGGATGATGTACGCTGGATGGTATGACTGCACTTCAATCGTTTGACGTAATCAGAGAGCAAAGACTAGTTTTGAAACATGCTGCGCCTCTTCTGGCACGGATAGTACGTTTGTTGTAACTGGATATAATTTACTTGGTCTGCTGAGTGTCGAGGATCGGTATTTAGACGGGCCAATCGTCGTAGACTGTAGTTGTATTTGAAGAAGGATATTTAAAGGATCCGATCTCCAAGATTTTGAGTTGTATGCTAATTCTTTGCAGCATCCTACTTGAGAAATCTCTGTAGGTTTTCTCTTAGGATGTGCTGAGATGAAAGCACTTAGATTTCATTTAGGCATAGTAGAAGACAAGAAAACATCACTTGACTCGAAAATTGACACAAGATACTCTCGCTCAGTATTTCACCCTCTTTGTGGACATATTTGTAGGTTGGAGGATGGCGGGACAGGATAATTATCTGTACCGGGAGGTACGGTCCATCTTCAGCTCTTGTGAAAGCGTTTCTGGACGCCGGAGCCAAAGCAGTGATAGCACCAGCCATGGATCCACCGGATGTGCATCGTACCTTTTGTGATGGAAAGGTCGGTGATAATGAAGGTGTTGACAGTGATGATGTGCGATTTGTTATCGAAGATGAAGATGACGAAGAGGAGGCGGAGCCTTCAAGCCCTGGTAGTGATTGGGAGGATAGTGACTTTGACAAACTGGACAGTAATTTCGAAAGCCAGGAGCGAGAAGAGAAGGACTTGGCATCATTCGTAGGTACATTGTACGATGCTCTTTTCAGAGAAGGTTTGGGAGCTGAAGCTGCTCTTCAACATGCTTTGGAAGCTCATGTGAAGCAGCAGTACCGATGTCATCTACCGCATGTGTACTAATTTATTCCCAGGTTAGTAGTAGTATTCTGCCTAAAGCTTAAGCACCGTAGACCTGGGTAATTATGAATAAAATTTCCAGTGGATCAAAGTTGCCACTGCCCTATTTATGGTAAAAACATGAACTCCACCTCCATACAAAGCGTCACCTCTGGAACTTCACGTGAAATCAATTCGACCGCAGTGTTTCGAAGCGCACGAGGATGCGGACAAACACTTTCCCGCTGTACTAAAATAGAAACTGTGGAGAGCTTATCGAGATATCACTTATCTCTACCTTGGTGCAAAGTGAGAGCATATCTTGTTACAAATCGCTCAACGCTTTTTTGTTCAGGACCGAGTAACATGTCGTCTTCCTTATAGATGATTGGTGCCACAAGCAGTCGCATTCATGGACCCAGTCAGATAAAGGATCCTTACGGTAATGTTCGAGGGATGGCTCTAACAGCAATGAGAATCTCATGCTTGCGCTCCGCAATAAATATTTTACGTCGACTTTCCGGCTTGCAGCTTCGTCACTATATTGAATATGAATCAAGTTTCCGAGTATTGTCGACCTGTCGTAAGCAAATTGAGGACCTCTGATGTTACCGGAAATGCATAGAAATATAATCCGAATACAAAGGAAGAGAACGGGGAGAGAGGAGATACGAATGTCGTCCGGATTGTACAAGCCGTATCTCCAGTGAATGGTCTTCATCATCAGGCTTTCTCACAGGACAGAGTGGACCAATGTAGTCTGGCCGAACCCACGAGCGAAATTCCAGATACTCCACACTTCCCATCTTTCAACCCTAAACAAACCCAACAGATGCAACCAGTAAAGACACTCCATTCTTTTCTCTCAAGTATAACGAGTGTCGATAGGAGTGGCTTTGCAACGTCAGAACGATATCTCTCATCTTGCACTTTTACTCGTCCTTTATTTACAGGGTGATCTACAGTCTGGAAGGGATGCGGAATACATGGGAACTAAACATTTATGAACTCTGTCAACCGATAGATTGTAGTTTTTCAGCTCCTACTCGCTGATTACCGCAAGGCTAATATTGTGGGCTCCAGTTGCCGTGTCAATCTGTAGTAACAATAACCCCCCGTTGAAAACCGCTGTATAAATCAAGTCAGTTACCGACCCTTAGACCTAGTTTTAACCATACCAGTTCACTTCTATTTTCTCCTCGTTGACAGAGATTGACATTGTATTAGGGAACAGCGAGGAAAGTCATTACTCTCTTCCCAGCCTCGATCAGAGAAATAACTTGGCGACCTTACCAAATTTCTGTCCGGTTGGCGAAAATAGAGAGAACCATCTTTTCCAGGAGTTGAGTCATCCTCCCACTCTCGGAGAACTAGGCCTGGCAGCTGAAGCTTGAGAAACTGCCGTCGGAATTACTGTGTCCTGAATGGAAGCCACCGTAGTCGGTCGACAACTCAGTGCAATGAGTGGTGATAACGACAGCAAAATTCCCAAAACAATGAGGAAGTTGGAGAATCATGCCTGTTAACTCGGGACAGAATTACTTGAAGTTATTGAGTTCATGTAGATATCGCTGGCGCAAGATAAAGACAAGTCCCATAAATGCACCGAGAGAGCGTGAAGCGAGTGAGAAGTACACTATAGACATCTTCGTTTGTCCGGCCTGTCACGATACGAAAAGAAGATTCTTTGCTTGACCGGACCTGAAAATGGTGGAATATAGCACCTGAAGCACACCATCAGTCCAGCTATCTGTTGTCACTGCACTAAGACTCTTGCTCACTGTGGTCCTCGTAGGACAGTGGCTAAAAATAAGCAATGCAGTCAATCTGCTCCCCACAAAGTCTCATGAGTCATGACACAACTCCCCACTCCTCCAATCTCCTCGAAATTTGATCTCGCCTCATCTCGATCTAGTTCATGTTCTCATCCCCTTCTCGCCACGCCCCAGACAATTGAAGTGAGAATTTCCTATTCTTCTCTCTCAGTGTTGAACTGTTGCCCTCCTTCACCTTCCTTTGAGAAATCCTGCAACCTTCGCAACCACCTCCATACTCCATTTCCATTCCGTCGGCACGTACATGTGCATTCATCTCGAGCAAGAGTTTTCAGAACCTTCTATCGTCCTGAATTGACGATGACGCTCATTACCTCCTCCCTCCTCTTACTTCATTCGAGTTAGCATGTGTTTTTCCATAGGAAAAATTGGGGAAAATTCTGTTGGGTTGCCACATTTCTTGTTTTTCGTCATGTTCGGAAATTCAATCGAACAAGAATTGCGCATCACAATTCAGCGGTTTGTGTACACTAGGTTTGTCCCTGCAACTCCGCCGAGTAAGTAATATCGACTCTGACATTTTGGGTGTCCCTAAGCCTTCAAAACATTTCAGTGGCGTGAATGCACCTCCAACTTCGGTCGGCCAAAGTACGCGCGAGGGTGCAAGTCATGTCACCTGATCCGGTACAACATCCGAACGTGGATGTGCAAAAAAACTCAATTGAGGCGATTTGCAGGCGAGCCATGGCCATGATGAACACAATGCGAGCGTTGTCAGTCATTTCTAATCGCCCTAAAATTCTCAGAGCCTAAGAGGGTCTTTTTCCCCTACAATCGTAGAGTCTAACAACATATTGGTAACAATGGTTGTGTACGCACACCCGATCACTCTACATAATCAGCTCGCGGCGTTTTGGGCTCATATGAAGATTGCTGTACATATAAATATGTCCTTGATCCGTGGAAGTATGCTTTTGCACCCTTACATCTAACGGCACAATCCAGCGGATACACTTTGACTGTTGATTTTATTGTCTTGCTCGTAGCAGCCCTCCCCATGTTCGTGAAACCAACGTCTACACGTATCAAGGAATCAATCTCTTGACGCTTGTTTGGTTGGTGTTCAGTGATCGCTAAAGACATCTTGAAGTCAACGCCATTGGGCTTCCAGAACGAGCTGCTGCGTAACGACGATGTGCAAGAGGTTTAGTTCTACATTTGACATGAAAATTATTTTGTAAGACGCGTCAGCGTTGGATAGGCGATTACCAGTCGTATTCACAAGTGACACTCAAGGTTTTGTACTCCATATCTGCAGGTAACATGATAAAATAAAGTAGAATTGGGAATATCACACCAAGCCCTACATGAAACCTAGCAAATACCATATGCTAGTAACCAATATATTTTAATGAGAAATATGTATTACAACACCTACAATCATCTAGATTGGTTTTTATAGTACATTCTTTTGCTCTAACAAGTCTCTAGCGTTTGACTGTAGATTAGATTTTGGTAAACTTAGTGTGTGATATTATATCTTTTCATGCTCTTCCTTCATCAATATTTGAGTGTTTATGATTGAATTAACTCGTACAAGACTGATTCTCACTTTCACAAGATCCGCAAAACTACGCAAAACCTTAAAGTAATTTTTAAATTCCTCTCTTAGATATAATTCAATTTCCATATCAAACTAACTTCAACTCAATCCAGAATTCAAGTATAACGTCAAAAAAAATTCTTGGCAAATTTACATCTACATTACTTAGATTATATCAGGGTATATAATTTCATGTCTCAAAGCGCAAAATAAAAAACCAATTGAAAGTGTGAAAAGTTATTGTAGATGATAATGTTATTTTCTATACAAGTATTACGTGAGCTTGATTACAATCATTTGAATTCTTTAATCAGCAGTATATGTATTGGATAATTTTTTCTACTTTGCATTGTGCTTTATAATTAAAAATGATTTGAAATTTTATAAACATTTCATACTCCAATGGTAATGCAGTCATAGATTCATTTTTTTTCCAACAGGATAATAATTATCTTAAATAAAATCAGTAGAGTCATATAAATAGCTTCAAAGATTAGTGATCTAATCATTTTTTCCATTTAATTCTTACAACAATACTATGATCATCTTAAAATAACATGAAACATAATTACAATGAAGCTACAACACTTGTTGTGATAATTTTCCTTTATCTTTGTATCTAATATTATTTTCTCTATGTATAAGAAAAAACATATTTTATGAATTATTTGTAAATATTATTATTATGAATCTTCATTTTATCTTATATTATTCATTATCTCATTAAAAGAAATAGATAAAATGATAATATCATATTTTCTATGTAATTGCAATGCTTTATTTCTTTTTAAGAGAATAAATAATATTTTTATGACAGAAGAATAAACTAATTATATCAATAAATTGTAATAGCACAACAACAATAATATTTATTTATCTATTATAGATTTATTTCTTTTATAAATGTAAATCATGAAACTAAATCGAAGATTCAAATGAAACAGACTAAAATATCGACATTTGTTAGGATTTAACTCGGGTTTTGAGTTAGACCTCAATAAGCTAACTCTAGTCAGTGTTGAGGTTAGCTACCAGTATATAAATCCGATGGCATTCGGTGTTTTGTTTGAAAGACTTCATTATTATTATCAGTTTTTTCTCCCCGTTGACATAGCCCATATTCGGATTAACCACGTATATGTTGTGCAACGTCTTGTTTGTGTTTTTTCTTGCCTTGATGATTCTGTGTGGTGTCATTTTTACTCTGTAAATTCTCAGGGATAAAGTTCAAAAATTATTCAAGCGAAAACGGTTACTACAACCCGACGATGTAGGATGGGCACGGCTCGGCTAACGACTAGACGGCTAAATTTTTTTGTTAGCCATCTAGCCAATTGCACAGCTGACTAGCCATCGGCTAAGTCTTTGAGTAATAGACTTCTCTGAAGAATCAATTTGGAAGACTCTCTCTCGATAAAGAATTTTCCAAATCTCGAAAGTGAAGTATGCTTTTAGCAGATGGATGTGTAAAAATGTACCACAGATTTTGCTCAAAATATTAATGAATTGTTATTCGTTATTTTGTATTTGTGGCTTAAGTGCAAAACATCCAATGTATTTTGCATCCAACCTGCAATACTCCCTTCTCTTGTGGATCTTAATACCTTTGTCATCGTCTTGCAATTATTCTTTGTAATAATATCTTGCAAATTAGACCCAAAGCCTTACCGTTTGATAAGAATAGTATATGATTCAAGATCTGTAATAAGAATAATAAACATGTCGATGTTTTTCCAAGTTAGAAGAAACCATGATTG